GTCGAAGGGACGATAGAAGCTCAATGAAGGTTGTCCCGACCGAGAAAGGTAGAGGGACGCTTAAGGGTGCCGTTACTTGCGGCACGTTCAGGCTGGGGACTCCATCCGCGGAGAGGGGAATAGTGAACTGCCCAATACAGACCACGGGAAACTGGAGTTGTTCCCCGGTGATGTCCATCTCCATCCTGCGTCCGGCGTTGCTTGAAGAAGCCATGGGTGCTAAGTCTTAGAAAGGAGTTGCAAAAACTAAGGGGAGGCTTTTGAAGCGTATCCCACAATTGGCGCCAAATGATGGTGCGCAATCCGATCACTCCTAGCTGGCAGTTGTGTGGCTCCTGGGTGGTACCTGAGATGGAGAAGATGAGGAATTCCCAGGGGACTTGCCCGGCGGAAACACTCCGATGCTTAAGTTAGAGCTCTGTGAAAAATGCAAGGAGAGTAAAGGGGGCTAAGAGTGCAAATAGTGCAGGTATCAAGAGATTGCTTTGCCCTTTGGGATTGGGGCTACTGATAATAGAACTCTGTCAAATCAGGCTCACCTGCCTCCGTTAGGGCAGGTATAACCACCATTGTCATCCTGCCGCAGCCGTTTCAGCCAGGGCTGAGGTGGCACGTACGGGGCCGTCGTTGCAGGGTACGTACTTATCAGATGTAAGACATCTTCCAGAGGTGACGGGCACGACACCGTCTGACAAAAGATGTGGTCGCAGTCTTCTAGGTTTGTCAGGTACAGTTGTCAGGCAGGAGATCTTCCTGTGATATGCCGAACTGCTCTTCCGCGAGCTACCCTGTACCGAGCTACCCTACAAGTGGCGAGCTGGTTGTGGCGAGCTACACTGAGTTGTCTGGAAGTGGCAAGCTGCCTGTGGCGAGCTACACCAGCGGCACTGACCCGAAGTGTCTCTACCTCGGGGTGTCTAAAGGCGGGTCGGCGTATTCCTTTTTTAGGAGTGGCCTAGAACCCACTGGGGGGAGCTCGGGCATTAGGAAAAGTCAGGGGGCCCCGAGCTCGGAGGTAGCTCGGAGCGTCTCAGCCTTGGGAAGAAGGTGCAAGCCTGACGACTCTCGGCGAGTAGCCTAACCCGCCGAGTTTCTAGATTAAACTCGGTGAGCCCTTCCCACCGAGTTGTGGCTACGCTTGCTATGCTGTCATGCTGAGTCAACGCTTAAGCAAGGTCACACCCACATGTCCCCGTGCTACGAGGTCGAGCCAAATCACCCTCCATCAACTGGTTTCATGAGGGGAAGCAGTGGTCAGTGGTCGCCTAATTACTAATTATATTGCTTGGGTTAGACGACCCTCTCATCCGATGCTTGTAATATTGGACTTTTGTTTTTGTTGGAGTGGATTATGATGGATGAGCTTTGGATTCTTTCAAATATCTATCCCTGGAGTTAAATGTTTTTTTTGGATAATAGCACATCGGGGCAACTTTTGGGCTCTAATATCAATACTTTCAAACCACCAGCGCTGCCACCACCTTTGTCTCCACCCACCTCTGGCAACATTATCGGAGGCAAAGGTGGGCGAAGATAGACAGAGGTGTTGTCGGAGGCGGTGGTGGACGGCAGTGGGCGGCAGCAAGCGGCAGAGCTATGAATAGACTGCAAGAGGAAGAAGATGAATAGTGATTCTGCCCTTTATTGATATTATTTTCAAAAGTTAACCTATTTTTTATTTTTTGTAAATATTACTTTTATTGATATTAGGGCCCAAAAGTTGCCCTTATATGCTATTAAACCTTTTTTTTCTTTTGTTGAAGTCGACAAGCACATAGAAACTGCTTTGCTTAGTTTTCCTATTTGATTCATACCAACTAGTTTCTTGCATTATGGAATGCCCCTTAGTTAGGACATACGAAAGGCAATGGGTGGGCTCAGTGTCGGGCATCCCCAAGTAAAAATCCCCTACTCCATCCCTAATGGCGAGGCAGGTCACCCCTAGGGATGCAAAGTGCAAATAGATCAGATTTGATTTGAATTAGGGTATATCTGAATCTGTTCCGATTTGATTCAATTCAAATTTTGAAAATTTTAATAAATAATTAAAAAATAAAGCATAAAAAATTATATAAAGAAAAAAATAAAAAAATAAAAGTATTTTTCAACTATTTTCATCATATATATTAATATATACATGCCTTTTTATAAAAAATTTATAAAAAAATTCAATATAATCATATTTATAAATAAATATCTTAATAAATTTATTAATATATACATGTCTTTTTATAAGTAAATATGTTTATAAATATATACATATATATTGGTCAGATTGGATCCTTTCAAATCGGATAAGGGAGTGATTCGAATCTAATCCAATTTCCATTTGTGTTCGATTATCCAATCTAATATGAAAATCCAATTGAGGTTTATCCAAATTCGACAAAAAATAGGATCAAATTCGGATTGGATTGTCCATTTGCACCCCTAGTCACCCCTTCCCTGTTGGGAATAGGGAATTCTTGAATTTTCCCCTCCTCGAAACAATCACTTAAAAATGGATCAAATTTAGAGAGGTTTTTACAAATAGAATCATGGGAATTTGGGGGTATTTAATAAGTGGAATTACGGGATCTTAAGATTTTAGGAATTTGGAATAAGTTAAAAAATATTTAAAAATTAATATCAATCTCAAGATTATTTAAAAATTTACCATCAAATTGGGGACAGATTTGAGTAATTATATGCAATGCAAAAATATTTTCTCCATCTCCATTTAAAATGAGTAAAACCTGCCCTTTGGGGCAAATTGGGATCTGCTCCTCACATGCCACACCTCACACCGATCTCACCATCACATCTCACCCTGTATTTGAAAATCTCCCCATGAATAATAAATACAAGTACAGGAGATGTTGGCAATGTACAGCCAGTCAGCCAATAGACCTATTAAAATTTTGGCAAAAGACAAGCCCGAACCCAGCCCATGAATAGGTCTAACAGCCAAAAAAAAAATATATGTTGTGAGGTAAATGTGAGGCGCACTCTAAAAGGAGAACAGATCCAGACTCCTTTGGGGCAGGTGGTGGCCTGTGTTATAAAACATCCCTACACTTAGGCTCTAATCGTTAGCCATGTGTAGGGATATGTCTACTTTCTCATGCCTCAAACCCAAGAGGTCAAGATGAGAAATTGGCTTCCAAGTGGCTTTGTTTCAACTAATAAATTTCCATTATTTTAAGGTAATTTCCTAGAACGTCCAAACACATGAGAAAGAATAATATGGTAAAGAGCAAAGCACGGCATTAAAATGAGTGGCATGGTATGGGGCCACTCATATCTAATTCGATCCGGATCTCCTGCCCACAAAAAATTTGTCCAAATTACTTAATATTGCAGTCATACATACAAAACATTTCTCAGAGTTCTTGTCCGGTCGTCTAATTCATGCCGGCCCCCTCCTTTTCGTCGACGCTTTATTACTTATAGCCGCCGGCCGCCCTCTTTGGTCTTCTTCCTTTTGGGTGCTCTTTATAATTTGCACACAAATTGTTCTATAAATTACCAAAGCGGTCGTAATCGATTGGATCATCATCGACTGTTACGTGTGTTGGTCCAGGCCAAAAGTGCGTGTCTTTGGGCGAGGCTGAGCCCATTCTTTTGGACTTTTCTCAAGTTTCAAATCCGGATCTGTTTGGCAGAAATTTTGTGTGTTTCGACTTTCGAATATGCTACCTGAGATATGGTTTTTTTATTATTTAAGCTTACATCTTTCCGAATTTTTACCAAACACAGTTTCTAAAAGGTACAGCTCAAAACACCAGAAGTGGCATCCTCCTCAAATCACTCCCAAACGGGTACTAAAACCCCACCCCACCCCACCCCACACAGCTTCAAATTGTCCACAATACAAATCCAAATATATTTGGCTATTTGCCCTCTCACGATGCGCTTGGAGCCTTGGGCGGACCTTCAATCAGGCCAAAGCTTGCCAAAACCAACTTCTCTGAACCATTCTTGTGTCATTGTGTCGGTTTGACTTATTTTGGGGTTTCAAACGCTCAATACGGCTACTACCACCAATTGACCAATTCATGAGATGCCACGCTATCTTAATTACTTATACATGGGTCCCACGTAATCGGAGCTGATGTGGCATACTGTGATTGTTACACATAACGGAGGCCGATTTCAAATATGTGTACCGTGTACAACAAAACCAATTGCTCAAAACAACGTTACCTTAATTAGTACTGATCAAAGCTGAAAAGCTTCCAAAGAAGCTTGAACCTTGAAACCACCGGCCATAAGGGAGATGTTTTCAATGTGTTCAGACCTTTAGTGGGATTGGACCAACCCTCTATCAATTTCATCTCATCATAAGGTTAGGACCCATCATAAAAGTGGGATCCGTCGTATATAAGATGAATAGTGTGAGATCACGTTAGGAGCGTTTCGTTAGTAGAACTGTAGAAGATTCTTACACAGCCAAATTTCGATCTGATACCGACCAAATGCTTCCAACATGCTCCAACGGGTCATTTCAGTTATACATTGATATTGATACAGTGTTGGGAGCGTTTTGTTAAGAATATCCCTACCCTGGCCGTGGTGAGCCCGTGAGGCTAATCTCTCTCAATTTAAAATTTTCACAACTTGAGTTGGTGAGCACGGTACTGTTTGGATTTGTACGAGAATGAGATATGAGAAAACTCTTCAGACTTGAGAGTCCCAACTCTACATCCGTTACGTGTATTCGGTCAACAAAATAATTTCAATTTTTTTTAAGGATTTATATTTCATTGAACAAGGCAGTGGACCCCATCGACAACCATTCAGAACCGTCCGATTTCAACTTCTTAGCATCTGTGGTTGTATCCATCGCGGCAAATTCCTATTTCCTATTTTTTTTTAATCCAATAATTGACAATGATGTCACGGCACGTCGGCACACAACGACGGCACAAAATATAAAGGGCAATTGAACGTGTCCATGTTCGTAATTCCATTAAAAACAAGGGGCATTGTCATATAAATAATAAATTAAACCTAAATTTAATAAACCCACCAAACACCGTCTCTTTCTTTTCCTTGTTTACTCCACTGCTCAAGAACTTCATTCAGATCTCTCTCGCCTGCGCCTGCGACAAAGCGGCTTCTTCTCTTCTGCTGCTTCCGCTGAAAATGGCTGCCCACCTTCTGCATCGACTACTCTTGCTTTTATTAACCAAAACATTGCTCCTCCGATCAGCTTTCGCCGTGGATTTTGTCTTCAACGGCTTCAGTTCGTCTGATCTTTTATTCTATGGCACCGCGACTCTCGAATCCCGTCTGCTCGTCCTCACAAACACTACCGCCTTTACCGTTGGTCGAGCGCTTTACAATTCTAAGATACCCACGAGGGCCCCCAACACGTCCGCTATCCTCCCCTTCTATACCTCCTTCATCTTCTCCATCGCTCCAAACAACGGCCAACTCTCCGGCCACGGCATCGTCTTCATCTTCGCTCCTACCGGCGGAATCAATGGCACCACCTCTTCTCAACATCTCGGCTTCGTTAACCATACCAACAACGGCAACCGCAATAATCACTTGTTCGGCATCGAATTTGATGTATTCAAAAATCAAGAGTTCAACGATATCAATGATAACCACATCGGCGTCGACGAGAACTCACTCACGTCGAAGACCGCCGAGCCGGCCGGTTATTGGGCTGAAGATATGAATAGCCGAAACGGGACCTTTCATGATTTGACGCTCAACAATGGCGTCAACTATCAAGTATGGATTGATTACTCGGATCTGCTTAATGTCACTATGGCCCGAGCCGGAATGAAAAGGCCTCAGCGGCCTTTGATTAGTACTCCTGTCAACCTCTCCGACATTCTCCTGGATGAAATGTATGTTGGTTTCACTGCGGCGACGGGACGGTTAGTTGAATACCATAGGATTCTTGCTTGGAGCTTTAGTAATTCGAATGCTTCCATCGGGGATTCCTTGACTACTTTGAATCTGCCATCATTTGTTCCTCCCAAGAACTCTGTTTTTCGTTCCAAAGGATTCATTGCGGGGATTACAGTGGCGGTTCTCTTTGTTCTTGCCTGTTCTGCGGTGATATCTCTACTTTTGGTTAAGAGGAGGAGGAGGAAGGTAAGGGAGAGAGCGGAGATGGAAGATTGGGAACTGGAGTATTGGCCCCATCGGATGAATTATCAGGAGATTCACACGGCGACAAAGGGGTTCTCGGAAGAAAACGTAATTGGGGTTGGAGGGAATGGGAAGGTCTATAAAGGGGTTTTGACAGGAGGAGCCGAGGTTGCTGTGAAGCGCATTGCCCACGAGACTGATGAAGGCATGAGAGGGTTCTTGGCTGAAGTATCGAGTCTGGGTCGACTGAAGCACAGGAACTTAGTTGGGCTGAGAGGTTGGTGCAAGAGAGAGAAGGGGAGTTTGATGTTGCTGTATGATTATATGGAGAACGGGAGCTTGGACAAGAGAGTGTTTGAATGTGAGCAGAGTATGATGTTGGGTTGGGAAGATAGGGTGAGAGTGTTGAAGGATGTGGCCGCTGGGGTCTTGTACTTGCACGAGGGATGGGAGGCTAGAGTCTTGCACAGAGACATAAAGGCCAGTAACGTATTGCTCGACAGAGATATGAATGGGAGGTTGGGAGATTTCGGGTTGGCTCACATTCACGGACATGGCCAGATGGCTAGCACAACGCGTGTGGTCGGAACTGTGGGCTACATGGCTCCCGAAGTGGTTCGCAGCGGCCGGGCGTCTGCACAGACTGACGTATTTGGGTTTGGAGTCTTGATTCTTGAGGTTGCCTGCGGGCGGAGACCCATAGAGGAAGGGAGACCACCTCTGGTTGAGTGGGCATGGGGACTAATGGAGCGAGGAGAGTTGCTGAATGCGATGGACGAAAGGCTGAGGGCCGTGGGCGGGTTCGACGCTGAGGAGGTCGAGAGGGTGCTTCATTTGGGATTGCTGTGTACATACCCTGACCCCCGGGCTCGGCCGACGATGAGGCAAGTAGTGAAGGTGTTGGAGGGTACGAAAGAGGCAGAGGAGTCTGAAGGAGAAGGGATGGAGGTATATCTGCTTGGCAAGATGAAATCGGCTCCAATGTGGCCTAGTTATAGTAGCTCCAGCGGTGGAACTGGAAGCCACCCCACCTTTGAGGAGATTCGACAGTCGATCTCATCTTCCATGTCTCTCCCTGATTCCGACGTCATTTTGGTGGGTCGATGAACGATTTGTTCAGGCCAAGAAGCTGCACCGATCAAGCTCCTGTTATTATTGTATCGTCAAAGAAACAAATCAATAGAATTGATTTTTGGCTGAGAAGCGACACTCGAAACAGAAAACTCCATTGATCGAGAGCATTGATTTTTGAACTTTTGAATTTGTTTGTGGGGGACGATTTTGATTTACATTTTTTTTTCAGGTGAAGATGATATTCATACTTGTAGATGTAAATATCACATGTAAAGAACAGAAGAGCTGAGCTTATATGGATTGTGAGATAAATCATTGAATTTATTAATTAATTCATAGAATGAGATTAATGTCATTCCCATGCCATCTGTTCTATGTAGATTTTTGTTCTGATACTGAAAGCATGTTGGCTCTGTTTCTCAAGGAATGAAGCAGAGCAGAGCTGAAAAAGAAAGCCCTGTATTGCGTATAGGATAAAAACACGGAAGAAAAAGGAGCCACAAGGTGCTTGGTTGGTGTGGTTACATATACTGGTAAATAATGGTATCCTTATCCATTTTTAGTTTGACTTTTAAAGAACGTGAGACCTGCCAACTTATGGTGATGATGTGAAAAATTGGTGGGAAAACATAATGTCTTGAGTCAGTGATAAGTAAAAAGAAACATAAATTCTTTTCATCAAGAACAAGAAAAAAAAAAAAAAAACAAATTCGTTCTTAGGTCCGTTTTGGTTTAAGTGGAATGGGAAATGATTAGGGCGGATTTTACCCTACAATGATATTGTGGCACATGTCATCTCCGAATAAATAGATGAAACTTAGACACCACTTAAGTGATGATTTGGAGTTTCATATCGTGGCTTGTTTTTACTCCAACCTAGTGACCTGTCTTTACCATCGACCTGGCGACCTCGATCGTAACTTAGGTCGGCTTGCAGCACCTCGTCTAGGGTCAGCCTGTACCACCTCATCACCGGTCGAAGTGACCTTGACACGAGGAGCGACCTCTCTCGAGGGCTTGCCGACCTGACCGGGGACCAGGCGATGACCTGCGAGATGTGCTCGCCGACAAATTTGGCATGCATATCCCAATGCTCCTACGTTTCTCGGAAGTTGGCCCACGTACCGAATGTTCCAGAGGATGATCAACGTGCATGGTGGTTACCTTTGAGGATCTTGGACCGGTTAGGCACAAACTCTCGGAAATCTTGGATGTGGTGCGTGAGTCCCACACCAAACAATGCCTATATAAAGGCACCAACCCCAATGACACAAGGAGGAGGCGAGTAAGCACATTCTATCTCTTATACTTTCTGATTTTTTAGCGCGCGATCTACTACGAGAGTACTAACTTAATCATCGGAGCAACCTCGCCGGGTTAGCCACCTTACATCCTCTAACATCGATTCCTTGCAAGTTTCTCTGAAGAGCTACCCAACTCGGCACCCAATCTACCCCCCAACTCGGCCTAATCAGCTCGACATCCAAGTCTTCATCCAGCAAAAATCCTCCACTTCAGCCTCTGAGTTATCGGCCACTTGGAAATAATCCGAACAATAGGGTGCTACCAAAAACCCCTTCATCAGGAACCTAAATCATAATCAAAATCCTTTGAAATCTGAATCTGAATGATTTATTCTCATAGTCTATTGATTCAGACAAATCGGAATAGGAAGTGAAATAATTTGAATGGAATTTTATTCTCAAGGGAGAGGGAGGGCCATTCTTCAATATCAAGAATGGAAATGAGATTTCGAAATGTTCCATTCCAGTTCTGATTCTACATTCTTGTTTCAGTATTACCATTCCCTCTAGACTCTAAATTGATTTGTATAAACTAAGGATCAATTGCGGGGATAGCTCAGTTGGGAGAGCGTCAGACTGAAGATCTGAAGGTCGCGTGTTCGATCCACGCTCACCGCATTAATTCTTTTTAAATGTCTATGTACAATAGAAATATTTGAACTCCTTCCAACCCACAGCCCATCCCCAACCCATAACTAGGGATGCAACTTAGGCAGGTGGATCGGGTTGAAAGTAAATCCAGGCCCACTCCTGAATGTGAAACTTTGGATAGCCCAAGTTTATCAATCCCAACCAAATTTCGGTTGGGATCGGGTTGGGCCAGATTAATTGGGCTTGGGTGAATTTGAAAGAATTAATGAATATATATATACCGTCATCTTTTATCGGGCCTTATGACCCAATTTAAACTCATGTAAGGTTGGGTTCAGGTTAGGCCTGTCCAAATTGCACCACACCCCTTCCCCCCAAAACCCTGGGCAGGTGGGATTCAATATGAAGTATCTGCTGCAGCCCACCAGAGATCTTACCATTACCAGCTAGCCATCTGGCACCTTGCATATTTCTAAATATAAGATGTGGAAACTACTGGAAGGAGGTGTACCAAATCAGAAAAAAAAAAAAAAAGTAATAATACTAAGCATCTTCGTTGTTTTCTAAAAGACCTGGACTGAGTCATTAACATCTAGTCTGTTAATGTTGAATTCGGATCACCTACCAATAAAATACACGTTCCATCTCTACCAATTTGATCTTACACCACACATCTCATACATCGTGAATCTCACTTGTATAGTGGATCTCAGTCTCATGATGAGATGTGCAGCGTTAAATCAAATTGGTAGAAGATTAAAACGTGTTCTATTGGCAGATGATCTCAATTCGTTAATTTGATAGGACAAAGCAAAATTAGCAAACTGAACAAGTGCCTCAGTGTAACGGCATTCGACCCCTTTTGATTTAAACAGGACGGTCACTATTGATGGTGAACTGAAATGAACCATCATCCAGTATCGACTACGCCTGTTTGACCTTAGAAGTTAACTTTGGTCTTCGCCCAAAAGCTTTGACTTCATTTGCATTTGAAAATGATATAGCGTTGTATAATTCACACGGTCACGGTGTAGTTGAGACATGGAGTTGGGGTTTTGACAGTCAGCCACAGGCGGCAGGCGGCAGGCTGCAGGCTTATCTTGAACGGTTAAACCAATTTGGTGGACCGGTGCTTGATTTCTAGAAGAAGAAACCCCAGGCCCGTTCAAAGTTGAGTCTTGTGTTGTGGCATTATCATTGGAGCTGGGCTTGGCCGCTTGGACCATGTTCTTTTATATGGAGAATAATCTTAGGTTGGGCTTGTGAAAGACCTAGACCCAGTTCATATCTTGCAGCTTGCCACTGACAGTGCCGAGTACTGAGTATTATTTTCAACTTGCCTTGACCCGGCTGGTTGAATCATTTCAATCAGTGCTTTCAAAACCAGACCCGAAAAACTGGAAAGCTGTTACTTGATTGGTTCCATTTAGGGGTGTTCATTATACGATTTAAACCGCAAAACCAAATCAATCTTGTGGTTTGGTTCGGTTTGAGAATTTTTTAAATTGCGGTTTGTGATTTTGGTTTGGTTTATTGAATTTTATAAATCGAACCAAACCGTAAACCATAAACTGGAATTTTATATACATATATATAATATGGATTATATGATATATAAATATTATATATAATATATCTAAATGGAATGCGTAAAATTATAAATAAATAATTAATGAACTCTTTATTTTATAATAAAATAATAAATAAAAGTTTTAAGTTTTAATTTTTAGGAGAGCTATTTGGGATTTCTAATTGGGTAAAGCCCAAAAGAATCATAGAATAGTATAAAGTCCCCAAACCGTATTAGAAACTGCACCAAACCTTAATAAAACGGTTTGGTTTGGTTTGGCTTCCATACCAAAATGGCTTGGTTTGGTTTAAAAATATCTTAAACCATAATTTACCGATTTGGTATGAAATCTTCTCCAAACCGCACCGAACCGGATCGTGAACACCCCTAGTTCCATTTCACCCCAAACCAATTTTTTGGCCAAAAAATGTTGATTTGGTCAGTGAACTGCTAACCTAGGTAGTCAAACTGTTGACTCGAACAACGGGTCGTCTGTTTAGACCATATGGTCGAACAATTCAACCCAAGAACCGGTCCCCAGAACAATTTCCTATCCGATCCATTTTTAAAAACCTTGATTTGAATTATCACCTTGCCTTGGTTCCATGTCTGGATTTCCTAAAACCTAGCATTTGGTAAAAAAAATGTTGACCTTGTAAAATTCATCTAATTTAGGTGGTTGAACTGTTGACCCATCCAACCCGAGCACCAGGTCACAAGTTGTACACTCAATCAATATATGTACAAACATTTAGAGACCATAACTTTGTGTTCAATTGTTTAATTGTGGCATTTTTTTTTATTTTGGATAACTTTTTTGAGATCTATGCATCTTTCAATGCCTTACCCACTATTTTCTCCTAAAAAACCCTTTCTTTTCAGCATCAAATTGCAATTTTAAAAATAAAAATTAAAACTATATATATATATATACCCCATCATTCAGACACATGGCCTTCTCATTTTTCTTGAAATCTAGACACGTGGCATTTTCTGAGAATTTGTTGTTAAAGCCCACAACCCACTACCACCATTTAGACAAGTGGCCTTCTCATTTTTTGGAAAGCTAGACACGTGGCAATTTCTGAGAAATTCCTGCTAAAGCCCACACCCCACTACCACGCTACAACCCCCCACCATTCAGACATGTGGCTTTCTCATTTTTCTAGAAAGCTAGACACATGGCATTTTTCAGAAAAGTTATTGCTAAAGCCCATAACTCACTACCACCATTCAGACAAGTGGCCTTCATATTTTTTGGAAAGTTAGACACATGGCAATTTCTCAGAAATTCTTGCTAAAGCCCACAGCCCACTACCAAGCTATAACCCCACACCATTCAGACATGTGAACTCCTCATTTTTCTGAAAAGCTAGACATATGGCATTTTCTAAGTTGCTACTAAAGCCCACAACCTACTACCACCATTAAGATACGTGGCATCCTATTAATTCAAGAAATAGGATTCAATAAGTGGGTAGTTTCACTCCTAAACATTCTCAATAAAAAGTTATTTATTTGCTTAACACATGTTTGTCCATAGTCTATTAAATACAAATGGTAGGACCCATTAAAAGATTACCATAAACCCACGTTTGTTTTTAAATGTTTTTTATCAAAAAGAAAATACTTTATTAATTACAAACTTGATGCAACTTTTAGGAAGCAACCAAATTTAACTTTTAGAAATAGATTTATTAGATAAATAGTAAATGCCAAATAAGGTGGGTTATTATTTACAAATAGGATCTCATTTAATATCTTAAATCAAATTAAAAAAAAAAAAACATAAATTAATAGTGGGTTTCAAATAAAATAGGTCAGAATAGATTCTCAATTACAAAGATGTAAGACCCATATTAGTTTTCTTTTTATTTAATTTTTGATAACTAAATAGTAAACTTAAAAAAAATGATTGTGCATTAAAATTATATAAATTACCAGAATTTAATGTAATTAGAAAATCTATTATAGCAGCAATACTCGGTTAGTAATTAAATACTGAATATTAATAAAA